TCATATTTTCTTTATTTTGTACAAATGATTCAAAATCATGGTGACAAACATATGAGGTTATAAGATTACACGATTCACGACTACCTTGTTGAAAAAAAAAATCGTAACGGTCCAACAACAGATCCATCTCAACCAGCGGTCCCACGTCCATTTTTGTTTTTGACCGCTTTAACAGTAAAACATTGGTAATGATAGACATTGTAGGTATATATGTACATATATTTCAAAAAATAATGATATAACAAATACATGTATTATATAGATATATGTCCTCAATCCATTGAATTGTTGGATATTTACCCTTCAAGTCTCCCAATTTCAACTTCTTGGGAAAGACAAATTCAAAATTACACAATATACCGGGTAATCCCATATGTATATACATCACATACATTGGAACTTTTAACTATGACTTTTATAGACACTTGCTTATTGTAAAAGCTGATTGCGATTTATACTTTGTCGAATTATATTTTCATTATGCTATGGCATCAAACACTGACCGCGTTCGCTATGTCTTCTTTACTGATATTTTTATCAGGACTATAAATAGTCTCCTTAGTTCCCGTGTCTGGCCCTGTGGACTTTTCTTTATTTTTCACGTAGACAAACCACTTCTTTACAAGGAAGAATAGAATTGCACATACAAGTCCCGCCGCTCCCACTATAAACACCCCCGCCATGTGTTTTATTCCAAACTCCACTGTAGGCTGGCTTTCCATCAGATCACATTTCCTTTTGTTTTCCCACCATCTTAAAATTATAGAATTATAACATTTTTTATGAAATACAAAATAAAATAGAAATTAGGAAAACCATTTTCAAAACTTATCCGAAAACACGAAATTCACATATCTAGATATTCTTTTAATACTTATTTTCTTATACTCACTTATTCACTTGTACTTACTTATTCTTTAATTGTGCCATGACAGGGGATTCCTTAACTTTAAGGAGATTGATATTAATATTCGTTTTGAAAGGTGCTCCTTGTTTCATCACAACGCCATGTTCCTGAAGCCTGAAGGGGGTCCCCACCATTTTGGTTTCACATGTCGTGAGTTCCGAGTACGAGTTAATCATATAATCAAATATAAAGGCGTATTTTCCTCTCTTAACCCTCTCACGACCCTCCTGCGAGGAAGCAACTAGTCCCCCTTGGCTCATTTTCTTCCAAGCAGCTCGATAGATTTTATTGTCACTAGTTTTAAAGAAATTCATAGTAGCGGAAGATCTTACTGTTCCACATTCATACTCGGGGCTATCAACAAGTTCTTCTAATGATTGTATTTGTTTTTCAAGGTTGTTCGTTGTCAAAAAAGCCGCCATGTTAGCTGTATAAGATGATACCGTGATTAATACAAAGAACAAGAACCCGGCTGTAAGTATCCTTTGGGAAGAAGGACGAGGAGCAAAGTCAGTCCCTCGCATTAGAAGTGTTCCGATAGAAAACCACCAAGTTTCCCTGGCGGAAAACTTACGTTCCTCGCTTGAATAATCCAAGCTAAAGTACAAAAGAGACACGCCGACCGACGCACCAACGATTGCCATCCATAATTTTAGAGAAAAGGGTTCCATGAACTGGAATATTGAGTCCATTACTTTAGGTTTTGAGATCAGAAGGTTGACACCTGTTGTCATGACACCCAGACTGAAATCTACATCCTTTTCTCGGGAGGAGGTAATAGAAATAGCACCCATACCGAATGTTGCATTCTGCAAAGGAAACATGGAAGAGTTACACAAAAAAACAAAAGTTTGTAGGAAAATAAATTCCAAATAAAACTAGAGTAGACTTTTTTAGTTCTTTCTTAACTGATGAAGAAAAATGGTTTCAGACATACTGTTCTACAGCATATTATAAGAGTGTTGTTTTATCAAATATAGACTTTCAAAAAAAAACAAAAAGCTTTAAGAAAACAAAATCGCCATTTTTTTTTTCAAAAGTCAGTAACATTACATAGTAAGACTTCTCTAAACTTTTTACGACCATTCCTTAAGATAAATTAAAAACTAGGCTTTTTAATATCATAGTCAACAGATTTATTCAATAAAAATTGAAGTCGGATTTAATGTGATTGGTCACCAACAAAATTACTTTGTTAAAAATCACTCTCATTCTACACACAAGAACCCTGAATTTGATATCAAAAGTATGCTGAAGTTCCTCTTTAACAACATTTATACAGTCTTCGGAGATCACGTTTTCCAACAAACTGTTGAAATTTTGATAAGTACTTATTGTATTCCTGTATTAGTTGACCTTTTTGTATATTCTTATGAAGCAGAATTTATTCAAAACTCCTTCATGAGAAGACAAAAACACAAAAACATCTCGACTTTTGAATACATGACCGATGTATTATCAATAACAACAGTTATTTTCATTCATATGTCCACTCCATATATCCAAGTTGAAGTAAGACACCATAGAGTCTATCTGCTACATCTGTTTCATATTTAGATTTTCACTGAAGTGGTAAAAGCCAACTGTTAACAGAAGTGTATGAAAACAAGATGAGTTCACCTTTTCATCGTCAAGTTACTTATTCATGAAGTAATATCCCTCTATCACCTGTACTTTGTGTTTAACCATATCGCAGTTATTCGATATGCAAGAGCATCTTTCGAGGACGATCGGTTTTTAAATCTAGGCAGACTACTGAGAGATAAGTTGATCTTATGGTGTTTGCAACAACCTCATTTAAAGTCAATATTTCGAAAATTCGTTAAACATGTATATGATGAACTTGTTAGCAAATAAATGGAGATAACGACCAGTATTCAAGCTCAACAGTCCATCACATCAGAGCCTCAAAAACATCATAGGTGGGATCGGGTACCATGGAGGAGTGAGCATCCCCTGCCGACGGGCGTGTGTTTCTTGTCATGATCCGGTAATAACAGGAAAATCCTCATCAATTCAGTTCATGAATGGACTAACAATTAAAATAAAAACGTCAGTCAGCATTTCATTCAATGATAAATTGTATTTGCTGACAAGGTCATTGCATCGACCATAGAACTTACAAAATGATGACTTTAAACGAGACTGATGATATTCTTGTTTCATCAACTTGTTTGTCAACAAATGTACCTCGTTTTAGAAATTGTACATTTGTAGAGCATGCTCCTACATATTGAATCAACTGAGAGATATAAACCCCGTATGCAGGTGATGAAGGTATAGTGCTGCATAAGTGAGGGAATTTGACGATTGAAAAGTTAAAGCCATCAAGTTTATCATAAAGCTTGGTTGTTAGATTACAGTTAAAGTCTTTTTTCAAGTAAAATATCCAAATATGAATTAAATGTGTCAGACTCTGTGATATCTTTTATGTAAAGTACACCAGGATATATTATATCGACATAAGAATGAAAATGACCATTGTTAATTAACAATACGTCGTCGATATATCTAAATGTCGAGCTAAAGACCACAGCAAGCGCTTTCTTCTTTTCACGTATAAGATTTTGGGAAAAAAATCTGCTTCATATGCATAACAGGGCGAAATTGGTATCCATGGGAATTCCGATAGATTGTTGGAAGACATAGTCTGACTGTCTCCAAAGACCACTTAGATATTGACAATCAGAAACTCGAGCATCTTTTTTATGTCAACGTCAGAGTACTTGTGTGTACATTCAGCATGTTTTTTAAAACAATAATCTTGCAAATGACCAATGACAAGGTAAGTTAATTTACGAGTTCCATTTTTATTGAAAAAGCAGCTGTCAATGATATCGAAAAGCCTGGACTTTAATTTATCGTGGGGAATGGTTGTGTATAAAGTTGAAAAGTCGTACAATTTTAAGCTGTTGGTTTTGGTTAAATCTTGTGATTTCAAATTGTCCTTGTCAAAACGTTTCTTTGAAATTATAAGTATCCATATCTGATTTACACCAATTCTCGATTATATTGTTGCATAGTACACTTGAAGTTTCTTCTTCACTACTGTTAATATTTTATAAGTTAAGAGTAAAGAAAGGGGCTTGGTTGAACATATAACGGAACCCGCTACGTAATTTTGTTTGGGAGGATTTTTATAAAGTATCGGGATCTAAAAGATATGATAATTCAAACTCATTTTGGTTGTTTGGAATATTAAAAATATTCAAAACTGATGATTTTAAAGAACTTCTTCCTTAGAAATGGAACTATGAGTATAAGTTTTACTTACATTTGTAGAATTAAATCCAAGTTTTACTTACATTTGTAGAATTAAATCCAAGTTCCTCTAAGATACAATTTATATAATGAGCCTTACAAAGACAATGTTGTTACCGGGTACCTGCTTTGTCAGCAGAAACCAGTAAATATATCTCCCATTTGGCTGTATTTTGGCTGATTTGTTTCATTACAATTACTAGATCTTTGTTCTTATACTAAATTTGACTACAGATGGTCCGTCAAGATGATCAAAACATAAGGCCCACGACGGGTGTGATCGTTTGACAAGGGATGCTTACTCCTGCTAGGCAACTGATCAAACCTCTAGAATTTTTAGTGGTTCGTGTTTTTGCCCTCATCAAAAGCTTGTATTAGTTTATTTTTGATTTCCATCAATGTTCGCTTTCTTCTTCACCCTATGTATTTATTGTAAAAAACCATACGGTTAGATGTAATTGCAATTATGGTTATCAAATTTTGTTTATAACGCACTTGCAAACAGGTCTTACATGGACCTCTGTTCTATTTTAAAATTAAAACATTAAGTTCTTAAAATAGATAGATGCTTTTATGATATTCAAACACAGTAATACAGACAATATGGCAAAGAATTAAGAATGAATCAGTTTTACTGAAATAAAGGTGCACTTCCATAGTGGAACTTTTTTTTTTCTTGCTCTAAAGCATAAAAAAAAGTAATGAAATGCCATATCCCTGCGAAGTGGAATAACTCCACATATTGATAAATCAGTGTTTTTTATAATACATGTACACATTTTGAAAAGCATGCCTGATAAAATGATCCTTGACAAGAGTAAGTGCCTAAAAAAAAGCTCACATAATTTCTCGTACAGGAGGAAGAACAAGTAATTAATTTGAATGTCAACTACGGAAATTCATAATAAAATTTAAAAGTTTTTCTTATATACAATAATTACCCCATCAATGACTTCTCCAACCATTCCATTCCACATCCCTCCACCAACTGGAGACCCGTATTCCTTAACGTGATATATTTCGTATTCGAATCCACACCTTTTCGACAATTCCTCCAACAGGTCAATCGTAAACCCCTCGTATCTACTGTTCCCCTCCAATGTGGAGTCATCCTTCAACATCACAAATGGAGCCTCCTGTAATTTAGTTTATGTCCATGATGCAAAGAAAATACAAGTACGGATGCATTTCGAATGGAAATGAATAAGAAGCTTAAAACTCGGGTGTACATTTATTTCTCCCAAAACTCTTATGACAAAAATGACACCGAATTAATATTACACAAAATTATTATTACACCTTTGACAGAATAGTTAAACTTTTCTCCTAGATATTCTTTTTATTTCCAAAACATATACGAACAAATTGATTATATAAATTAAAATAGGAGAAAAAATTCTCCTATTTTAGAAGTGACCCAATTATAATGCATTTAAGGGAAACGTGTTTTTATGGAAATTAATCGAAAATACATTTCTATTATAATATTAATATTAATTAATGCACATGCCAAAACCACAGCCACACGCTGGATGCCGTCAAACAGGTTCTTGGTCCCTTTCTTATGTGGTTCAGACTCGTTCAGCTTCGTAAATCTTCCACCTTCCGCATTCGTAGCTGGTGACCATTCTCCGATCTGGAATCAAGCATTTTTTCACACTTTGACCGAGATGAGTAGAATATTGTTAGAGCTATAACAATAGGATTTATCAACTTGTATTCATTTCAGACGTGGTAGCACTGTTTGAAATCTATACAAGTATAAATTGAGAACTTCAAGTGGCTTAAGCAAATTGTTTTCCTTACAGAACTCTTCAAAAAAGAAACGCAGAAGGGGTTTTCAAGTTGGAAAGTTGGACAAACATGTTAATTCACGGCAAAATTATATCTATTTTTTTTCAAAGATAATATTCTATATATAATGTTGGGGAAATCAAAAGTAAATCAATCATGCTTCCAACTATATATTTAACCTTTTATTTTTTTTTTTAAGATATAGCAGTCAACATTAAAAAAATCTGTAAAAATCATGCAAAAAAGGTGATACCTGTATATAACAGAATTAAAGATTTTTTTACATACATAGATTTCTGGTAATATCGGTAAAGAAAATTCCCTAGCAACTACTGAGTAGCCAATTGTCAAAATGGATGGACAATCAAATCTCCTCTCAGAGGTGAAATTAAATGTGAATCCTAAAGTATTTCAGCAAAATTTTCAGATGTATGAATATTACCCTGGTGATGATGTCTTCACCTCCACCGTGACGATACAGATGAAGCGTAAAGTTCACACGTGCCCCGGTAATGGCATCAAACTGAATTCTTCCCGTCTTACCGTCAAAGGAAACCTAAATGAAGATCATATTTTAGAACACAATTTTAAAGAAAACCAACATGGTATTTAAAGGACTGCATTATAAATATATGGAAATAGCGATTAGTATTCAAGCTCTAAAGTCCCTTAAACAATACAAAATAGGAGCAGAGCAATCACGGAATATATCAGAGGCGGGATCAGATGCCATGAAGGAGTGAGCTTCCCCTGCCGACCGGTCACATCCGCCTTGTATTCCTTGTCATGATCGGTTAATAACGAGAAATCCGTCGACAATTCATTGTGTAAATAATGGCCTAACAATAACTGCAAAATCACATATTTTCCTTGGGTCAAATTTTCAATGTGTTAGGGTGAAATGGCTTGTGAAAATTTGATTTCGTGACTGAATAAGAATTGAGTAATTGTGTTTATATGACATTTAAAATTTCGTGGTAAACATGAATGCATGGACCTCTTCATACCTCGAAAACAACGAAATTTAAACCATCCACGAAAAATAAGTGATTTTATGTAGTAGTAGTAGTAGTAGTAGTAGTAGTAGTAGTAGTAGTAGTGGTATGAAGAACGTCAGTCAGTAAACTATTATTAATTCTGAACATTTTATTGTCTTCAGTCGTCGTATCAGTTAAAATCAGCAAGAGACTGAATGATTTTTTCAAGTTGAGTTTTTAACAACACAGCAGTCAAAAGACAATAGCTGTAGATGTTGAGTTGGTATAGATATTATATTGTATTACAGTGAAAGACTTTAGATGTAACCTGCTTTAAATTGTGTAGATAAAGAAATAATCAATTTTTCCTAAAGTACAAATGCTGAAATGGAGACATGAAGAAACATTGCTATAATAATTTTACCTTCTTTAGACTCTCTAGAAATAATTTGCTATCGATGTCGCTTTGCTTTCCTTCAATAGTCATGTAGT